TCAATTTCTAAATGTAGAGATTAACATTTAATAAAATAAAATTTTAAATTTAAGTTAAATTTTAATTAAATAAAATGATGTCAGATATATATTATCCTTTACATATTAAGACTCTAATTTTTTTTAATCACAATGGGATATACATTATCCTTTATATATATATATATATATATATATATATGAGTTAGATATACAAATATATAGGTATAGACCCAATACTTAATACTTGATAGATATGAAAAAAAAATAACAAGATGAATTCTGATATTGTATTGTATATCTGTGTATTCTGTACAATGATATTTATATATACAAGATGTATTTAGATACTAAGAATAAGCCTAGAATTATGTACATAAACGTTGTTTTGACCGTTGCTTAATTTTTGTGCTTTGTGATCAATGACGGAGATGGCAGAGAGATTGTTTCCTTCTTTTTCTGTTATTTGTTTCCATACTTAGCTCATACGTTGTTTTTTCTGTTAAGGTTTGAACTTAAAATCTCTAATTTAAAACTTTAAACTCTTAATCATTGAGTTATCTCATTGGAATTCAATTTAGTTCATGTGATGCTGGCCTTGATGTATCCTCCATAAGATATACATTTTTCATATTTAATATTTAACCCTCTCGTTATGAGTGCAATCTTTTTTTAAGTGCTAATAAAATACTTGTTCAAATACATTAAGTATCAGCCTAATGCTGGTCTGTAAAGGAAAAGATTAAAGAAGACAGCTGCACTCGGCAAAGCATTCTTAGGCAACTCTCCTGAATCGAACCTTCAGGAAAGAACAAATCTCGAAGCTCTTCTTTTGTCGTGAATGTTTAAAAAGAACACAAAAGCAATAAAATGGATTGACCACCATTCTATCTTTGTTGAGCAAAAGATTAAATCATCATTCTTCCAACGGTTTAATGGCAACAAAAATATTCCAAGATACAAGAAAGTAGTAGAAAGTTATCTAATATCAATTTCTGTGGCAACTAGTAGCTAAGGAAAATTGATTTTCAATATAGGTTTGAATAAATTAAAAATGTAATAAATGCATGAGATTTGGTGGTGATATAGAAGTAATATTTTTCTATCACTTTTTCATGCAAGTTTCATATGTTATTAAATAAGTGGATGCATTTAATATCACGAGTTTAAAATAATTAAAAAGAATTAATTATTTAAATGACATATAAAGTTATACAAAAATATTACCCCTACATCATTTTCTATATGGGATTAGTGTCATGTGGGATTAATGTGAATCAATTTTGATTTTTGAAAAAATTGGAGTCACAACCTATATTTATAAACTGAAATCCTAATTCAAAATTCATAAATCCACCAATCCTATTTGGTGTTGATATATAGATTTAAAAACCAATTATATATGTTAATATAATTAGTTTTTAAATCTGAATATTAATATTTAATAAAATATATTTTTAAATTTTGAATTGAGTTTTAATTAAATAAAACGATGTAATTTAATATTGGATTCTAATTTATTTTGAGAGTTGTGACTAATAAACACTTTTCCCTAAATGTATTTTTTAGACATTAATTTTAATAGTAATATCATGCAATTTTTTTAATTAGATAATTAATAAAATTTATTTCAATTTTTATTTTTTTATATACATTAATAATAAAAATGTATATGATGAATACCTTATTAACCTCTATCCTTGTAAAATAAGTTAAAAAAAGTAATATGAATTACTCACTGCCATTCTGGATTTATTTTGCCGTTCCGGATTTATATTACCATTAAAGCTTCCACAAGAAATCCTATTAATAACTCCGGGGTTAAATCTAATGATAAATAGGTGTTAATTTACTTGAATACAATATGTTGACGTGAGGGTATAATTTAAGAAAAAATTCGATTGGAAATATATAAAAATTGATTAAAAATGAGTGTAAATACAAAAATATAATAATAATAATAAAAAAATCCAGTTAATGCTTTACAGGTCTTGCTCTACAATTCAAGTTACCTTTTTCATTTCAATAATTTCCCTTGAAAGCATTGCATTGCTATATAACAAACACAGCTAAGCAATTTTCAACAGAAGACAAGAGATGGCTATCCTTTGGTGGTTTGTTGGTGTGTTTAGTTACCTGCTTACCATCCAAGCCATGCCACCGGCGCCGGTTGTTCAATGCAACCAAACCGGCTGCGTCCTTTACAACGCCTACGGCGTTTGGGGTGACAGGAAGGATTGCCGTGTTCAAAATGTCACTTACCCAACAACAGAGGAAGAGCTTCGCTTGGCCGTGGCCTATGCCAATAGAAACAAGCTCAAGGTTAAAGTAGTATCCAGATTCTCACACACCATTCCAAAACTAGCTTGCCCTTCTTCTCAATCAGGAAACTCAGTGCTTATCAGTACTGCAAAGTACAATTCCTCCATTGAAGTCGACTCTGCAAATATGGCTGTCACCGCAGATGCTGGTGTGTCTCTGCGTGAGCTGATTAATAAGGTCGAAGAAGCTGGATTCAGTCTGGTCCCAGCGCCATATTGGGAGGGCGTGAGTGTAGCGGGAATGATCAGCACCGGTTCCCACGGCAGTTCGTGGTGGGGGAAAGGAGGAGCAGTTCATGATCATGTTATTGGGATTAGCCTTGTCGTTCCTGCAAGTGAGGCAGAAGGTTATGCAAAAATCATCAAGATTGGACCACAAGATCAACTCCTCAACGCTGCAAAAGTATCATTAGGAGTTCTGGGCGTCATCTCTAAGGTCAGATTAAACAGTTGTCTATTCAATTCTTCAACAATTTCATAAAAAAGTGGATTTCTTGATTCAACATTATCTGAAGGAATGAACAAAACAGGTGACGTTGTCTCTGGAGAAGGGATTCAAGAGAAGCATAACTTACAATTTCACAGATGATGCTTTCATTGAGAATCTGTTCATGGATCATGCAAAGAAGTATGAATTCGGAGATATCACCTGGTATCCATCCAGGCAAGTTGCTGTTTACAGATATGATAACCGAGTTCCTCTGGAAACCCCTGGAGATGGAGTGAATGATTTCCTGGGTTTTCAATCAAACATTATTTTGTTCTCCAAAACAATCAGAGCAACAGGTAAAAAAAAGAGTAGAATACCCAGTTGATTAAATTTTTTCTAAGAAATTTGGAGTACTGAAGAGAATGTTCTGAATTTGAAAATTGCAGAATCATCATTCGAGAATTCAAGAAATGTGAATGGGAAATGCATCCTGGCGGAATCTTTCGTGGGTTTCAAGAAGTTAATCGCCAATGGATTGAAGAACGGCCTCATTTTCACCGGTTATCCGGTCGTCGGCCTGCAGGGAAAAATGCAGACCTCCGGTTCTTGCTTATACTCACCCCCCATTGATATAGCATCCTCCTGTGCTTGGGATCCAAGAATCAATGGGCTCTTCTTCTACGAAAGCACCGCATTGTTCCCCGCCACAAAGTTCGGAGACTTCATCCGCGACGTGAAGAAATTGCGAGACTTAAACCCAGAGAACTTCTGCGGAGCCGATATCTACAACGGCATTATGATCCGTTACGTCAAGGCTTCGCCGGCATACCTGGGCCAACCGGAGGATTCTGTGGTGATCGATTTCAACTATTACCGTGCCGACAATGCTTCCACCCCCAGGCTAAACGAAGACATCTGGGAAGAAATCGAGCAAATGGCATTCTTCAAGTACGGTGCGCGGCCGCATTGGGCCAAGAACAGGAATCTTGGGTTCTTGGGAGTGCAGAGTAAGTACCCAAACTTCAACAAATTCATTGCGGCGAAGAAACAATTGGACCCGCAAAGCATATTCTCCAGCGAATGGTCGGATCAGATACTGTTGGGAAGCGAAGCTGCTGATAAAGGCGACGGGTGTGCACTAGAAGGACAGTGCATTTGCTCGGAGGACAAACATTGCAGTCCGAGCACAGGGTACCTCTGCAAAAATGGTCTTGTTTACAAGGAAGCCAGAGTCTGTAGATATTCGCCGTCCTCCATTGTGTAATGACTTTTCCGAAGTTAATTTCATTTT